GGGGGGGCTGTAATGGGACCCACCAATGGCTCTGGCTCAGGGACAGGGATGCTATGGAGTAAAGGGTTGCCTCCAAGGCCCAGCACAAGGCCCTGGATGGTTTCAGGTCTGGATGTTTCCCTCCCTCCCTATCCCAGGGAAACCTGATATCACCAGCTTTTCAAGCCCTCACTCACACCCTTCTGCTGTCCCTCTTGTCCTCCCACCCCCTGCCTTCAGCCTCCTAACCTGTACCCTTGCCCTATCTTCCCTCTTGCCTTCCATTGCCTGGTCCCTTTTATCTCCTGTCAACTTCTTTGCCCATCATCCTGCCCCTTCCAACCTCCACCCACTCTATCCCCACTCCCTGACCCTCCCTTCTCTTCTGCCCTCACTCCCTCCTTTGTCACCTTATCACCTTCATTTCTCTCCCACTGCTTCCTGTGGGGTCTGCAGCATGCACCACACATCCCTAGTCTCTTCCTCCCAACTCCTTTCTTCCTCTCCTATTGCTTCCCAGTTTTAAGACTTTTCCATACTCTGCCAGACCCCACTGGACCTTCCTGATGTTACCCTTCCTGATGTTACCTTGATGTTATCCTGAAGACACATGGCAAAGGACAACACAAAATTTAGCTTTGTGGGGAATCTATATTCAAGAGATGGAAAATCTGCCGGGCCTGGTGGCGCACGCCTTTGATCCCAGCACTTGGGAGGCAGAGGCAGGCAGATCTCTGTGAGTTCGAGGCCAGCCTGGTCTACATAGCAGAGTTCCAGGCCAGCTGGGGCTACAGGGAGACCCTGTCTCAAAATCCCAAAAAAAAAAAAAAAAAGGAAAATCCCGAGTCCTGGAGTTGTTTATAAGCAAGGAAAGCAGCACAGCAAGGTTGACTGTAATAAATTTCTGTCACCTTTTGACTGTGTAAGATTCTCTTTTTCCATACTATTTTTTGGATAGTTCACATTCTTGCTTCTAAGAAAAACAAGGAGAAAAGAAAATTGTTATTTCATATGGCAAATCTTTAATATAGTTATGAAATTTCAGCAAAGTTACCCTTGGAATCTTGATTGGGTCTTAAAGTAGTCTTGTCTAGTACTTGACTAAGATATACAGGAATAAGAAAAAATAACTCAGCTGGGCATGGTGGTGCACACCTTTAATCCCAGCACTCAGGGAGGCAGAGGCAGGTGGATCTCTGTGAGTTTGAGTCCAGCCTGGTCTACATAGTGAGTTCCAGGCCAGCTGGGGCTACAGGGAGACTGTCTCTAAAAAATTTAAAAGTAATTCAAGCTGGTCCTGCCCACGGCTTGGGAGTCCCAGATCTGTCTTGCCTGGCCAGGTCCTGCCCAGCTGCCTGCAAATACCTGGTGCCCCAAAAGTACAGGGATGTGCCTCTGAGCCTGAAAGTAGGGTCATGCTACCACAGCCAGCCCTCCAGGTCTAGGAGCCCATGGTACTGCTTCTGCCTCAACCAACAGACTTCTGGGGCCCCACCAGGGTCTTCAGACCAAAACTTAGCTTGATGGGGAACCTATAGACAAGAGATGGAAAATCCTGAACTATCATGGGGTTTTTCATAAGCAAGCAGAATCAGAAGAATGTGAAATATCTGAAAAATACTATGGGAAAAAGAGAACCTTGGCTCCACAATGGCATTTGCCAGCCTGGACAGTACCAAGAGTTATGTCACTCTGGGGCTATACCCTTGACTTTCTGGAGGATGCAATAGAATGTGCCTAGGTCCAGAGAACAAAATGTGTATCTGGATCAAGACCTATAGGCCTGAAACCCACTTCATAAAAGGCATGAGGTATTCCCAGTACTTGGGGGCTAAGGCAGGAGAATCTGAGTCAATCTAGGCTACATATCATGAGCTGTCTCAAAACAGAAAATGAGACAGTAAGACACAACAGGATCTTGTTCCTCTGTGCCAAGCGTCCCTGCACGAGGCCTTCTTGGTCCTGCCCAAAGGAGAGGGCACAAGGATCAGTGATCTGAAGGTGAGCAAGAAGCAGAGGCATCCATCTGGTGATGTTTATAGTTTTTCCAAGATAGTCTTGAGTTGGAAAGCATTGATCTGGTAGGAAAAGGAAAAGTCGTATCTTACCTAAAGTTCCTGTACCTTATCAATGACCTGGTCACACAAGAATGACAGCCCCTGCCTGCTGCCCTGACCCTGACCCACAGTTATCCAGGTACAAATCTATATCAGCTAGCACAGAACTAGAGAGACAGGGGGAGACATCCTGGAGTGCAATCCCAACCTCCTAGATGTCCTGCAGTGGCCCTATGGGAAGCATAAGGAGTGCTCATCTTTACCTGGTATATAACCAGAGAGACACACGAAGTCAGCAAAGCTCTGGAGGACATGAATGAGATAGACAGAGAGAAGTTCCCACACAGTGAACTCATGTTAAGCACAACCAAGAATTTGAAGCAGGTGGTACAACATATAGCCTGTGACCATGTCCACAGCCTACATTTGCTCAAATTCATTTCCTGCCATCAGAAATGCAAGCTGTGCAGTGATACCTGCAAGCTGCTTACCTCCAAGATCACCAGCAACCTCTGCAGAATGAAGGCTGAAGAGACAGCCCAGCTGGTAAAATGCTTGCCATGGAAGCACAAAGATGTGAATTTTGATCCCCAATATTCACGCAAAAGCCAAGAACAGCTGTGTATGCCTGCAATCCCAGCACCAAGGAGGTGGGGACAGGTGGGTCCCTGGGGCTCACTGGGCAGCCAACCTAGCCAAATCAGTCAGTTCTAGGTTATGATAAAAAATTTAAAAGGGGGCTAGAGAGAGAGCTCAGCATTTAAGAGCACTGGCTACTTTTACATAGGATCCAGGTTCAGGGCCCAATACCCACATGGTGGCTAACAATTGTCTCTTAACTCCAGTTCTAGGGGATCCAAAGCCTTCTTCTGGCCTCCTTGGGCACTGCATGACATAGAACTTACATACGTGCAGTCAATACACTCCTACACATACAATAAAAATTAAAAAAAATAAATAAAAGGTTGAGTCAGGCATGGTGGTACATACCTTTAATTCCAGCAATTGGGAAGCAGAGGCAGGAAGATCTCTGTGAGTTCAAAGCCAACCTGGTCTACACAGTGAGCTCTAGGTCATCTGGGACTACAAGGAGACTGTGTCTCAAAAAAAGGAAAAAAAAAAAAAAAGAAAAAGAAAATGAAAAGGTGAAGTCACAGCCTCAACAAGCTGGAAGAGTGATTCCAGTTCAATATCCCATGGACTGAAGCTCATGATGCTCCCAGCTTGGAACTGGCCCTGCTTCTCCAAGAGTCAAGTATTCTCCCATCACAGATGCCTCCTTCTGAAGTCCCAGGCCAGGCCTGTGAGCTCAATAGGAAGGCTGCCGGGCAGGAAGGTGCATTCCTTAGGCAGATGGCTAAGGCCACCGATGTCTATGTTCATCCTGCTCCTGTGGCTTTTCTGCACCTGCCCTTCATAACCTATGCAGCTTTTGTCTCTTCACTGGCTGTCCTTGGAAAATGGTATCACTTTCATACCAAAATGTACCACCTCTCCAAAGGCACCTCGGAGAATTTTCCTAGTTTCATTATAAACACAATGGGGGACTGGCTTGTTTATGATGTGCCTTAAGATTGGCCTGGCATCAGGACCTTTGGCTTACACTGGATGGCAAGGAACGCTGAGTTCTAGCCTGTCCTTCTCCACCTATCTTTACACACCACTATAGTTATAGGACCATTCCACATTGTGGAGACCTGGGTATCCAGATCTTACAAACATGCTGAAATTGCCAGTTAACTTCCTTAAGCATCCATCTTGCCTATTCATTTATCTGGATGCGGTCGTGCTGCAGCCCTACAGACCTCAGTCCCAGCACTGGTACTTGCCTGATCTCTGCTCCCACCTATGCAGAGTTCCTTCAGAACTCCCCACGCAGGCACTGGGGAAGCTTCACCGTTAGGTTAAACAACCAAGAGCAACACCTGGTCTGCTTCATTTGTTTGACTGTTGAACTTCTGTGAGAGCTGTGTTACAAAGCCTCACAGGGCTTCTCAGTTACCAGTCATGTCATATGTCAATTCTCTCCTCCGACCTCCAGAACACTAGAACTTAAGGACAACTACTGACTGTGATCTTGAGTTCTTAACCAATATTGTGATATAGAAAGCCGTTTAACTTATGATTTTTCCAACAACAAAAAATGGACAAGTCTATGTGCTGTGTACTTAAAAAAAAAAAGACAAATGAGGAAATCTGCTAGTAAATAATATATTGGAAATAAGCATGATCAGCAAATATATATACATTTCTCCTTTTACTTAAGCATATTTATTTTTACTTTTATTTTTCAGATTTTGTTTTCCTTTGTTGAGACAGTCTTTCTAAATAGCCCAGGCTGGTCTTGAACTTTCCATCCTCCTGCCTCAGCCTCCCAAGTGCTGGGATTATAGACATGCATGACCATGCCAAGTCTTAATTTTATTGATTACTTATAAGCATCTGACCATTTACTGTCAGCTATGTAGTTACAGAAGACTCCATCCGTTCAAACTAAAATGGTAGGAAAGACACTAGTCAATATGCAACTTTACTCTGTGATAACTGTTACAGTGTACATGAACACAGCAACTGATGCAATCATGGGCAGAGGAAATGGTAGAATAAGATGAATGGAAGACATATAGAAACTAGCAGGTCATGCAACTGCAGAGAGCTGAGACCGTGTGCCAGACAGTGTGTGCGCAAACTGGCTAAAGAGCCAGGCATGACAGTGCGTACCTGTAATCTAATCATGGCATTCAGGAGATGGAGGCAGGAGGACCTAGAGTTCAAGGCCAACCTAGGCCACATAAGAAGTTTCAGGCCAGCTTGGGCTACATAGCAAGATCCTATCTCCAAAAAAAAAAAAAAAAAAAAAATCACAAAAAAGAGGCTTAAGAGAAACTGAGTCCTGGGTTGGATGCCCAACACCACAAGAAATTAATAGTCCATAGTGTTTATACTACAAAAATACAATATGCATTCAATTGTAATTGTTACTTTTTATTATTTTACAATATAGTTCAAAAAATGCCATTCTAGTTGCCTTAACTGTTCTATATGATCTGGAATAAGAGTACTTAGAACACACAAACATCAAGCTGAAATATCTACTTGTACTAAAGCAGCACTATAAAGGGTTATAGGTTTTTTTTTTTTTTAAATAAAATGTGTGATAATGCAAAATAAAATAAAAATCTGCTAAAACAGAAAGTAAACTTTGCTTTAATGGCTATAGAAAGGAGGTGTTATTGTTTTCTTTTTTCAATACATCTGGTTCCGGCAGCAAGTGGCAGTATACACTAAAGCACTGGGCCCTGAAAACCTGTACTTTCTATTTGTGTCGCTTGAAACAGAGACCAGACACATGGAAAAATAATTGTTCTAAATGTCTTCAATACCTCTTGCTCCCCAAAGTCACAATGTTAATGACCTTAAAATCCTTTTACAATTATTTTTCTTCAGTGACACTGGATGCTTTGAAATTTCTCTAAAAGAGAATTAACAAAAATGCAAAGAAATTTTCTGAGGCAATTTTCACTTCACCTTCTCCAAGTAACAAAATAGCAGCTCTACGTGGTGACGAAATGAAATTCAGTTCCTTCCTGTTTTTAACCATGTTTACATTATATCAAATTTAGCTGGATTTCCAAAAAGAAAAGATTAGTTGCCACATATTTTAGAACTTTAAGAAAGCATTACATACATATAGTTTTTATCTTAAAAAAAACCACCCATATATGTGTATATATTTATGTATCTTACCTTCAGTGAAGTCCATTTTTTTCTGGCTAGATGTGAGAAATAAGATTGCGGGACCAATGCTGGCTTCATTTCTTTATGAGCATTAATTGGGGTCTTTTTTCATTCAGTGTGACTGCAGCATTCTCATAATAGCCACACAAAAGGCAATAAAAGAACACCTACTCAACAGGCTTCTGCCAGGAAGCTCATGTCTGAAGTTAGACTCCACCAAAGTGGCACTACAGCATTGTAGGCATTGAATTTTTGTTTTCTTGTTTCAAGTTTGTCAGTTCTGTACTATTATTTTTCTCTAGCAGGACAGTATGTCATCACAGGGTAAGTAAGGCCGAGAGACCACTTGCAGTTGCTCGAAGTAACACGGTGGACTTAATTCTCAAGTGCTGCTATAAACCAACGTGAACAGTAGTCAACTAGAGCCACATTTGGTCACATTCAAATATTTCCAAAAGCACTTTGCTACTATGTTTCCTTCTTCTTAACTGATTTTATGTTAACCTTAGTAAAATTATAGCAAATAAGACTGCAAAGATTTTTTGTAAAGTTGTGTTTTTACAGGACTGCTATGTTCAAATGAATATACTTCAATTTGCAAAATGCCATTAGTAATGTCCTTTCTATAAACATGGTTGGCAAAATAAAAAAAGGCACAGAGGGGGCTAATAAGATGCTTCAATTTCAGTGAAGAGTACCAAAGCACACGTCATGTATCGTTCATGAAGAAAAGCTGACAAAAATATTCAGCAATTCATGCACAACTTGAGCTATGCACAACTTCTCTTCAGAAAGATCCTGAGGCTTGAGAAGATACATTTTTCCTAATCACATGCTTCATGTAAAATAGACTATAAAGCTACATATACGTTTGGTTTTAACTATGGACCCATTATTTTTCAAAAACGTGAGGCAATTAAGCAAAGGAAAACAATACCAAAATACTTCATAAACAAATTCCACCTGTAGCCTCTGTACTGTTTACCATTCAGTGAGATAAAATGTCCAATAAAATGTAAAATGCAGCATATGCAATCATGTAATCTAGAAACTTTTCATGATAACTTATTGCAAATTGCACTTGACAGTCCACCACAACAATGGAAAGCTGGCCCCTTGTTTGTTTGCACAGTCCTTGAGCCCCAAACTGAAGTTGAAGTCACCAGTAAAAGGATCTGGATAAAAAGTTTGCAGCTGTGCTCAGCCAGCTAGCTCCACCCTCTGGGTGTGAGCCAACCCGGGACACTGCTTTGTCCTGTTCCTTTGTGGGGCTCTCATCCTCAGGCAAGTAGTCAGGCAGCTCCGTGTTTTCTTCTACTTCCACAGGAGTATCTTGGAATGGAACCAGCATCTGATACAGAGAATGCATGGAGAGCCATTACAAAATCAACTTAACGTATCCATCATACACATACCAATGGTTGCACTTTTACTTTCTTGATTGGCAAAACTAGTAAAGTTGGAAAGAAAGTTATTTAAAGGTCAATGGAAGGGCTGGAGAGATGGCTCAGCAGTTAAGAGCACTGGCTGCTCTTGCAAAGGACCTGGGTTCAATTCCCAATACCCACATGGAGGCTCACAACCATATGTAACTCCAGTCCCAGGAGATCTGACACCCTCTTCTGACCTCCATGGGCATTACACGACACAGGTGCACTTACATACATGCAGGCAATACACTTATACACATAAAACAAAAAATGATAAATAAAATATTTAAAAAATAAAAGTTAATGTAAGGAAACTGTTTATCCTTTATTTTCATATAAAATCAGCATTGTATCTCCAGAGATAAAAGTTTGCTTTATAAGAACACTTTCAACTCCACAAAAGATCTGTCTAGTATTACTAACACAATTAACAGTTAACCAAGATATATCATTCTTTTTTTAATATTTTATTTATTATTTTTATTTTTTATGTGTATGAGTGTATTGTCTGCCTGTATGTGAGTGCACCCATGTCATGCAATGTTGCAGAGGTCAGAAGAGGGCTTCAAATTCCCCTGGAACTGGAGTTAAGGACAGTTCGTAGCTGCCATGTGGGTGCTGGGAATTGAACCTGGGTCCTCTGCAAGAGCGGTCAGTGCTCTCTCTTAACCACTGAGCCATCTCACCACCCCCCCACATTCTTATTTTTTTGATAATTATTGGTCTAGAAATATTATAATCTGCTAACTATAAAAAATAATCAACAGTCTGAGTTTGGCATAAATAAGCAAATAAAACTTTTACCTCTTCTCCGCTTTCACTTTTCACAACCTGCTGAGCTTTCATGACCTTGGTTGATGCTATTGCTGATGCCAAAGCCTGGGCCAAGATAAAACAGAACAATTTTGAACAATAATTTTCTTACTTACAACCTCAAGTGTATTCAGCCACTGAAAATACTAACCTCTGCTTTCAAATCTGAACGGATTCGCACCACGCATCTTTGAACAGCCATTTGAAAAGTAAAGCTAATAACACCTTTAATTTTTAGCAAAGCCTCTTCACATAGATTTCTCCGAGACTGAGAAAGTAAAAGCACAGTGTTATTAAAATAGGTAATAAAAGGAAATAAGTCAACTTAAGACATACTGAGCTAGTCATTAGTCATGTGTCACTTCATGGCAGAAATATAGCTTAACAAATGCACTGTCTGTTAATTGTTATTGTAGACAATAACATAGAGTAAATTAACACAAAGCTAGACGGCAAAACCTATTCACACCCAAGCTGTATGATACAGCTTACTGCACTCGGCCTGCGAACCTGCAACAGCATGTTCCCTACACTGAATATTGTAGGGAATGATAACACAAGTACATACTTAGATATCTAAACATGTCTAACATTATAACAATAACAACACTGCAATCTTATGGGGCCACAGTGCCATATGTGATCCACTGTTGACAGAAACATGAAACATCATTATGTGTTATGTGGTATATGACTATTTTGATGGAAAGAGAAGCAACTGTATTTCAGTACAAATGGGAAGGACTTAGATTCATTATATTGTATTATGGTCAACAGAACAGTAATTCCTGATATATTTTAAGTTTCATTAATAGCTAGTTTTTATAATTTTCATCAAAAAAAATTTCCCCAAAAGAAGTTGGCCAATGCTAATGTATAGCTTAAAATGAATACATGAATAATACAGAACAAAGGCAAGGAAAACAAGATTCCTCTAGCTTAAGGGTGGGCAAACTATGTCTATCAGCAGTTCTTATAAAGGTCTACTGAAATAGCCATGTCCATTTTCTTACTTATTCTCTGACTCTAGTTTCATGCTACAGCAGAGTTAGTAATTTTAACAGAGTCCATCTGACATGACCAAAACATTCACTCTCTGGTTGTCTGTTTTAGCTTAAAAATCACTCTTGCTGGGTCCAGTGGATGGACCTACACTGAAGGACATTTCGGGACACAAAATATACTCTATAGGCCTTATTATATATAAGATAGTACATTAAATTGGGTATGAGACAGTGTGGGGAGATACAGATGGGGAGGGGCCCTAAATACCATCAAACTATACTGTATGAAAATCACAAAATTTCAATAAGAAGAAAAAAATCTCTAGAACCAGCTGTGGTGGCCCATGCATTTAATCCCACCATTCCGAGGCAGAGGTAGACAGATCTCTGTGAGTTTGAGGCCAGCATGGTCTACATAACAAGTTTCAGGCTAACCAGGTATACACAGTGAGACCTTGTCTCCAAAAAAAATCTCTAGGCCAAAGTTAATTAGTAAACATTCGGTGTTTTAGCCAGTGACCTTTAGACCGCTCAGTATTTAGAATATTACTGCATCTTGCAGTCATGCCACTTCCAATGGGTACCACTGGAATCTCAAGCATTCATTTCCTCTGCTGGAGGTCACAACAAACACAACCTTCAATGATCTGATGCAGGGTACTAACTCTTCTGGTCTTCCACCTATACCACTGCTCTCCTACTTGTGTCCGCTTATCTCCACTGTCAGGGCCTATAATTAGGAGACTTTCTGCTTTGGCCCTCAGGAGACTATCCTCACTTCAGCCATAGCTCATATTCTAGATTTTGGCAAGCTCAATCTTACAGTAGATTGGCCTATATTTATGTCTAGTTTGTTGGTTTGTGTATGTGAGTGGGGTGTACATATATATGCATTTGGATATACACACCTGTACATGCATCAAATGTTCTGCTCCATCTTATTCTCTTGAGAATGGGTCTCTCACTGAACTTGGAGAAAGGATGGCAACCAGTATGCCCCATCAATCCTCTCATCTCCCCTCCACCCTCCATATACAACATAGCACTGGGGCTACAGGTGCACATGCAACCATACCTGGCTTTTTACATGGGTTCTGGGGATTTAAACTCAGGTCCTCATGCTTGTGCACCAAGTGCTCTTACCTGCTGAGCCATCTGTATATCCCCTATTAGATTTTTTTATTTGGTTTGTGCAAGCTTTAAAAAAGTAACTGGTATTCATATTCAACAAAATTAACAAGCTATATAGCAGATGTTTTATGTATATTAATCTATTCCATTCTATCAATTTTCATTTATCAGATGGACAGAAAGGGAAAAAAGAGAAAATCTCCAGCACATGCATTCTCTGCTTTTAGGTCACAATAAGGTGGCCGCCCCCACTCCCACTCTGCCTGCCATGATGCATCACATTTTTCAGGCCCAAAGCCTTAGGACTAAGAGACCATAAACTAAAACTTATAAGCTAAAATAAAAATTCCCTTCTGTTATTTCTGGCAAGTATTTGGAACAGTAACAACAACAACAACAACAACAGCAGCAACAACAGGGGCTGGAAAGATGGCTCAGTGGTTAAGAACACTGACTGTTCTTGCAGAAGACCCAAGTTTGATTCCCAGCACCCACATGGCAGCTAACAACTGTTCTTAACTCCAGTTCCAGGGGATCTGACAGCCTCTTCTGTCCTCCGCGGGCACTGCATGACACAGGTGCACTTACCTACATGCAGGCAATACACGCATACATATTAAATAAAAATAATATTAAAAAAAATCTAATAGAAACCAAGCAGAACCCAGCAGTGCCCTGAGCTGAGGACAGAGTTTAAGAACTCAGGATGCTAAAGCAACTGCAGCTTTCAGGGTGGAGCAAATGCAGGTAGAAAGCAGAACAAAGAGGAGGGACCACACAGAGAAGGCTGCTCTGAAGACCTATAGAGTGACCCTCAAGTTTCGAGCTAATGATTAATGCATACATATTCGGAAGCAATCTGAGGGTGGGAGGGAAAAAAACTACTGAGAAGATAGAAAGAGCAATTCTGTGGGCTCATGCTGAGCTGAGAATGCATCACGGTCCCATCAGTTATATTAGAAAAACCAAATACACAGGTATGAGCATGGCATCCAGAAGGATACTGTCTCACTGGTGTAGCAAATCTGTCCCTAAGTTGAAAGGTGCCTAACAAAATTTTAAAGCAAGGTTCAAAAAGATCAGCTATTTATAAGGAACTTAACTTTGATCCAGAATAAAGCTCAAGCGTGTCTAAGGGCTATGTATACAAATATGTGCAGCACTGTACAATATAATACACAACATATCTGGCATCCAATCAAAACTTACCAGACATGCCAAAGTAGCAGGAAACTCCACAACATATTATAAAAACCAATCAAAATAAACATATTCAGAGGTTGTTTTTTTTTAAGACTTAAACTTTAAAAATATGCCATAAAACAATGCTAGTGATGAAAACTAACTGGATGAGATTAACAGCAAACTAAATACAGAAGAAAACTGGTGAATATAGAAACAGAAACTATCCTAAATGAAAGAGAAAAACAAGATTGAAAGAGAAATGAAAAGGACACCAGTTTCAAGTGGTCAACAACACACGTAACTAGAATTCCTGAAAGACCCAGGGGAAAAATAAATAAAACAAATGTTTAATATACTGGAAAAATTTGTCCAAATTTGCTGCAAATTTAAATCTAAACAGTCAAAAAGTTGGATGAACTTCTTGAAGCACAATGAAATGAAGAAAGTCAGACCAAGACACACCATTAAAAAGTTGGTCAAAATAAGTGACAAAAACAAAATCTGCAAAGCAGAGAGTGGAGGAGGAAGAAAAAAGCACAAATGACAACAGAATTCTGCACAAAGAAAGTAAAGTAGAAGACAGTGAACTGATACCTGAAAGTGTAGTGAGGAAAAAGTCACCTCGGATTCTACATCCACCAAAAAAAATCTTTTTAAAACAAAAATACAAAGACTTTTCAGACATATAAAAACAGAGTTGGAGACTTCAATGCTGCAAAAACATATGGCCATATAGAACAGCTAGACAAGTTAAGAGGCCAGACTGGGCTACCTGAGACCCTGCAGGAGAAGGGCAGGCAGGAGGGAGAAGGAAGGAGACAGGAAGAGAGGAAGAAGAAAAGAAACAAGAAATGAACACTAAACTCATACCACTAGAAGGGAATAATGAAGATTAAGAGGGGGCTGGGGCTGAAGAGGTGGCTCAGCAGTTAAAAGCACTAGCTGCTCTTGCAGAGACCGGGTTTGGTTTCCAGCACCTACATGGCAGCTAACTCCAGTTTCAGGGAATCAACATCTCTTCTAACCTCCGTGGGCACTGCAGGACACGGGTGCACCTATATACATGCAGGCAAAGCACTCATACACACACACACTAAAAATAATAAAATATTTTTTAAAAAAGATTAAGGGGGGGCATAAAAATAAGAGATCTCTATACCCAAAGTTGGTTCCTGGCAACCCATTTTCAAGACTACTCCCTGCTGTCACTCCACCTTTCAATAAAACCTTACTTGCTTATCCTTAAAACTGGTGAGGCTGAGAAAGGAGAACTGCCTGAGTTTAGGGTTAACCTGGGCTAAAGAGTGAGTGTCTGTCTGCCAAAAAACAAAAGCAGAGCCAGTAAGACAGTGCCACCAACAGAACTGATGACCTGAGTTCAATCTCAGGGACTCACATGGTTCTCCTTCCGGAGAGAACCTACCCACTAATGTTGTCCTCTGGCCTCCACACGTGCCCCTCCGCGCCAAAAAAAAAAATTTTTTTTAAGTAATTAAAAAAAAGTTAGTTCTTTGAAAAGATCAACAAGATTTACAAACGTTCAACTTCTAAGAGAGAGTGAGCATGCTCACATTGCTAAACTCAGGAATGGGAAAGGGAATATGACAACCGACCTGACAGAAATAAATGATTAAAGGTTTAAATGTCCTTTACCTGGTCTTGGGATGAGAAGCATTTCAGATTTACAAGTTTTTCAGACTTTACAATATTTGTATAAATTTTACCAGCTGAGCATCTCAAATCCAAAACTCAGAAATTCTCCAAACTATAACTTTTTAAGCATCCTATCAGTGTTCAAAAAGTTTTGGATTTTGGTTTAAGGATATTCAGTCATACAGATATAGGAGTAACTGTATGCCAACACATTATATAACCTCAATGAGGTGCAAAAATTCCTGGAAAGATATAACCAAAGCTTATTAAAAAAAATTTTTTTTTTGGTCTTTTTGAGACAGGGTCTCCCTGTAGCCCCATCTGGCCTAGAACTCACTATGTAGGCCAGGCTAGTCTTGAATTCACAGAGAACTGCCTGCCTCAGTCTCCTGAGTCCTAGAATTAAAAGCATGTGCCACCACACCCGGCCCCCCAAAAATGTTTTAAAGAAAAGATAAATAGACCTAAAACAAGAGATTCAATTAATAGTCAAAGAACTGCCCACAAAGCAATGCCCAGGGCCAACTGCTTCACTAATGATTTCAACAAGATGTTTAAAGAATTAAACCCAATTCTTCATATCCATATACTGATATATCCCACTCATTTGAAGTCAGTATTACTTTGGCACCAAAACCATAAAGATATCACAAGAAAACTAGACCACAATATCTTGTATAAATATGGACACAAAATTCAACAAATACTAGCAAACAAATCCAGTAGTGTATTAAAAGTATTATATGCCACACGCAACCAGGGTTTAATCCAAAAAATGAAAAGGTGGTTCAACACATAAAAACTAATCAGTATACAAATTATTGAAAGAACTCAGCAATAAAAGTCCATTTAAAACTGGGCAGAGAATTTCAATAAGTACTTCCCTCAAATATAAAATCTGAAATAAGTTAAAAGACATACCCAATAAACCCCAATTCAACCACTTAAAAAAAAAATGGCCAGTTAAGTTTTTGAAACAATGTTCAGTGCATCATTAGTAAAACCATAAGAAACCACTTCAAATCCACTAGGAAGGGTGGACAAGTACATGCAAAAACTAGTCCCTTCATACAATGCTGGCTACAATGTAAAATGGTACAGCCATTGTGAACAATCTGAGAGTTCATCAAAATATTAAATTTAGAATTACCAAATAACTGAGCAATACCAGCAAGTATATACTCAAGAGGACTTAAACATTTAGGTTTTTAATTTTGTTTATTATTTTTATTTTATGTGTATGCGTGTATTGCCTGCATGTAGGTAAGTGCACCCATGTCGTGCAATGCCCACGGAGGTCAGAAGAGGTTGTCAGATCCCCTGGGACTGGAGTTACGGACAGTTGTTAGCTGCCATGTGGGTGCTGGGATTCGAACCCAAGTCTTCTGCAAGAACATCCAGTGTCTTAACTGCTGAGCCATCTCTCCAGCCCCAACTCAAACATTTGTTAACACAAAAACATAAATGCATGATCATTAAGCAGGTTAGTAAAAGCCAAAATGTAGAAGCAATTTAACTCTTCAACAGGGGATGCATATTCAGTGGACTACTATACAAAGAAATGACGCACTGACACATGCTACAATATAGATGAACTCTCAGAATAAGATGGGCATGATGGCGCAGCCTTTAATCCCAACACTCAGGAGGCAGAGGCAGGCAGATCTCTGTGAGTTCAAGGTCAACCTGTTCTACATAATGAGTTCCAAGTCAGCTGGGCTACAGT